AGGGGCAGGCCCTCCCTGGCCCCCCTTCCTACGCCTCTGTTTAGGGCTTCTTTACATAAGTATTAAGATTTTTTAAGTGAATAAATCTCTTCTAGTGAATGTGAATTAGACTCCGAATGATTTCCTTTACCGTCCCTCTAAGGATATAATAGGGAGCAAATGAATCAAGTGAGTTCAAATGTGTCTGTTGTTGTTCTTCTCGTAACTCAACGCTTCAAAAGATCATTTAAAAATTATTCATCATAAAGGTTTCCTAGGTCTATGAAATACGCCTTGAAATTTAATTAAAAATATTTCAAAGTCATGTAAAGAAGCTTTTCATGGTCTTTCATACTTTAGAAAAATCTCCAAACATGTCATTAAGAGCGCTTAAATATATGATGCACGCACATAATGTCACATAAAATGTCTTCAATCCGAGAGCCTTCCATTATTGTCACTGTTCCTCCTAGATATCTAAATTTATTTCTGTTCTTTTTTCCTGAGGGGTGAAAAACATCCAAAGCAAGATTTTAAATTTCTTTTTTCGTAACAGTGCAATTTTCAATGCCATTTATTCACATATCAGGTTGAACCTTTGACCTGGCTTGTTCTTTCTCTGCAGCCCAAAGGCAGCATCTGTGGCAAATGTTTATGTTTCTGTAACTATTCCTTTGGGCTGAAATAGAGCTGAAGCTTCAGACTTTTGAAATACGGATCCACTTCTCGGACTTCCTGACTTAAATTTTCCAAATACAGCATGAATTCAGTCTTCTGTGAGAGTAAAGTTCCAGTAAGCCTCCTCAACCAATCATCCAGCAGTACGGGTTAAAATCCAGGAGACCCCGATGAGCCCAGGGGGTGGTTATGTTTTCTTTAGGTTTTCTGGGCTAGGACAGTACCTACCATTAGCTAGATATTGCTAATGAGGGCTATCAAAAGTTGATTTAGCTTTGAGGAAGTTATCCACAACTGATTCAATGTTCAGATACCCTTGTGAGAAAAGGATAGGGACTCCATGGGCACATTGGCAGTGAATTTGGAAGGCGCCTCCTCGGGCAAATGAAACCAGTGCTTCAAAATAGCATTCAAATTATCTTCAGGGCAGACTTATTTGAACTTATGAAACTTATTTTCATATTCAACGGTGCCATATTCACTCTTACCTCATGAAGTTGAGCTTACACTAATAACTGTCAAGCTTAATTGGTGTAGGTACATGGTTGGGTGTAAACAGTTCATTCTCAATTGAAAAATTCCAAATCATGGGTGGCGGTAGCCACCTCCGGACAAAGTCTACAAACTTGACAACAGTGGTACCATGAACTGTTCCTTCAGACATTGCGCACTTCTGATGACACTGCGGCACCAAGGATAAAACTGAGGAATGGTCTCAAACTTGGAGCGAGGACTTAATTTGGAGATTTTTATGGAGAGAGGGTATAAACCACTATTTCAGACAGACAATAATAAATTGTCTGCCTGCTTATGGAAAGTAACACTGCTAAAGCTGAGACTTGAGGGTGAGGCACATTAAAATCGTCTATGAGAAAAAAAAGCAGATCAAACCGACAAGCTACTAGGCTTCAGCTTCAAACATGAGGAGGGCACGAAACAATGAAGAAACGCAATAAACTTTAGAAACTGAAGTGAAAGGTATTAGGACGATACTGATTGAAAGACAAAAAACCAACCTAAGTCACAGAAAATGAATTTAAATTAAAAAATTATCACATTTCAGATCGAGAAGTGCTGGTGGTTGTTATCAGCTGCCCTGGTGTCGGTAAACAATCGGAGGGTGTTGTATTTCAAGGTGAAAAAAAGATTTCCAGGTCGAACTGTTCAGTGTGCTTGAGGATGAATTGTCATGAATTACACATCAATCTCTTCAGAAAAATCTATCGAATCGTTTTCTGAAATCTTCGATGCATAAATATTTCCTTGTTTCAGAGATATTTTTGATGGAAAATGAGCCTCGTGTTATTTTCCGTGAGGGCTCCAGAAAGTGGGCACCAGGTGAGTCAGCCAAATAGAGAAGACAAGTTTAAAAGTAGGAGGGGCCACTCGGTCGGCATTTCACGTCCGGCCTCTAGTATTCTCTTTGGAATTTCCTGGAAAGGAATAGAGGCCACGAGCGGTATGCAAAAACGACATTTTTCGCCCCCCACCCCCACCCCCCACTAAAACTAACTAGCGCCGACCAACCGGCCGCTCAGTGGGTCTCTCAAGTAGCTCTACGGGGAAAAAGTGAATTTTTGAATTCAGTGACCCTCAAGAATACCTAAAAATGTATTTTGTATGGTTTGGACTTGAAGTCTGATTCAGTAACACCCAAATCCGGCTTTGGAACCATATTTTGGCGCGCGTTGAGCGGATACTTCAATCGCTCAGAACTTGGGAACCGTTCGGTTCCCCAGCTCATATGACCACTCGTTGGATGCGGGAAAAGACGAGCAATTTAAAAAACTGGTTTTGGTTCAAATACAAAAGTGTGATCTTTCAGTTTAGCGTGTTTAAAGGAAATTGTGTTTCCTTAAAACTGAAAAAAAGCACCTAAGTTAACTTAAAAGTAATATTTTGGGATTTTGACCTTTGGA